AACATTTGTTGAGAAAAACTTAATATAAATTAGAAAGACGGAAAACCCATAGTTTATGAGGAAATATACTGTTTGTTTCATTACATTTCTCGTATAGCAAAATAAAAATGAAACGAACGTAAGCCTTTTCTTGTTACATACATTTCCACAACGATACATAATGTAAATTCAATAGGTATTTAAAAGAATTTGAACTACTTAACAACAGAATTTTGTCTTGACTTTGCTTGACCTTTTCCTGTTTCAAAATTGGAAAAATAAATTGAATAATTTACATCTCTACATAGTACAAAACAAAGTCGCTCCCGCTGTCTATACGCTTAGATCTTTTAAACTACGCAACGGGTTTTAATGCAGTTTTCAACTATAGGTAGAGTGATTCAAGAGGAAGGTTTATATGTATAATATTATAGTACAGAAAAGTCGAGAAATTCAAAGATTTGTAATGTGGTGTCGTAACACATATTTTTGTGCGCTTACACTGCAAACGCTGGGCTAAACCTACGAGATAGATCAAATTAATATACTACGGAACTGTACATCTTAAAAAGATCGATAAAAAAGTCCTGGATGCTATATGTTTATATCCTAGTTCTAAAGAAAACATGTTTATACTGTCTCATGAAAACACAGCTACATATATTGTACGTTATATAAAGATATCCTGTAGTATAGACTAATCATAATCATAATATTATTTATTATTACTCCATACTGCCCCATATTAGTATCTACATTGTACCCTTGCGAAGCAGGGGCGGGTTGTTAGTTATATATAATATAATATTCGGTCCTTTTTCTATGCTAATAGACATTCCCTGAATACAATCTAAAAATATTTATATTTGATGTGTTTGTAAATCAGCTTTCTATTTACTGTTCCGGATTACTTATGTAGATATAGTACATGTAAAACTGATGTATCTAACTGTTCCTTTCATTCCAGATAACAGAAACTTATGCATTTCTGCCGAGAGAAGCTGTCACCCGTTTCCTTTTGGGATGCACTGACTGCCAACGACATCCCCGTTCCCCGTCTCCCGCAACCGTGCTTCCTACCCCAAGCCCCAGCCCCACGTTACCCCTTGCACCGACAGCGACGCCCGTGCTACCCTTAGCAACGCTGACTCAATCAACTGTAACAATTACTACCAAAAATAACTGTTCTCTAACTTCTTCTTCGTCACTGCAGAGTCCGACGGCTCTGTTCGACTCCAATACTCAGTCTTTAAAAACGTGTAATTCGCTAAAGCCGAAATCTTGCAACAATTCATCTTCCAAATGTCCATCCCCGATTCCGGTCAACGGGGAGAACGCGTCCCAAAAAAGTTCGAGTCCGTATCATAATCACGTGGCTCCAACTCAGGGCTTCGGTTTACGACCTTCGCAAAATCTTCTCAAGCCCCCGCACAGTCCAATTCCGATTTCTTGCAAAAGCAATTTTAATTCGTTGCCATCGTATCCGAATCAGTTCTTGGCTTCGCCTCCGCCCTCGCATTACGTCGACTTTACGAAACCGACGAAATGTAATGGGACGACTTTTGGCGTGGCTAATACCTCTGCCTCGTCGCCAACGTTGGATTTGTCTCAACGAAGCACGGACATCGCTCAAAGTCAGGCAAATATCGATGTTCCATTAGCCGAGAGCACCCCTGAACCAAAACGATCTAGCAACCCTTTAGACGTTTGTAATCTCACTGCGAAAGATCCGCCGAAATCTCCAAAAAAACTGCATTCCGATAATTTGTCAGAGAAACCCGTCACCCCCGCAGTCGTTACTTCCTCCTCCCCACCAACCCCTAAACTTTGGTCACCAGTGCAGGGACTGAACAGCAACGAATCTCGGGGGAAAAGAAGTTTTATGCCAGCTGAAATTGACTTTTCTATGCCCATCACCACCACCTACTTGAAATATATGCAAAGCTTGGGATGTTCCGAAGAAGACGCTTTCAAGTTTGAAAATAAATACGTGAGTCAAATTATTGATTCCTTCATGCATGAGCTTATCACTCATTACTTTTACTAACAATTTTTAATTTGTATTTTTACTTTGGTACCTATATAATTGTTATTTGTGTGTTTCTCATTTGTTTTTATTCAGTTTTTGTTCACTGTCTATTTTATTTATTATTATTGATGGTTAGACATTATTTTTTAGTTATACTTTTGTACTAACATATTACTTTTCTTTGGTTATTTCCTACTAGTAAAGTTTTTGATAGATATTGCATACATATTTGTTTATTACTTATGTAGAAGTATTTACTTCTACTATTAGTACCTGTACGAATCCCATTTTGTTAAGTGGAAAAGATATTCCAAACTTTAAAATTCAAAAATGTAGTGAATGATCATAAAAAATATAACTAATATTTTTAAAATTACATAAATGCATAATTTCAACATAAACGGAATACTACTTTTGGTATAGTATCTAAAGTACTTTTACAATAGAATCATTAAATATCGTTAAATTAACCTGTTAACGCATAGTGTGAATGCTGAATTAATAGGTAATTAATAACGAATGAATTAGTGAATGTGCAAAAACGAATAGTAAACCTATTAAGTAAATAAATTATAAAAGACTTTTAGAATAAAGTTTTTTAGTCACTTATCGATTTTAAACAGTTTGGAAAGATAAGTAAGGTAAGTTTCTTGATTTTGTTTTACTTTTTCTTGTATTTGACTTGTGTATATCGTTTTGTAACAAGGGACGACGAAATATTTATAATATTAGTCCTATTACACCCTGAAATCGTTGATAGTTTCTTAGCTCAGGTATTGTATTTCTAATATACGTATCAATCAATAAATAATGATTAATTAATTTTAATTAGTTATTATAGATAAAAAACTTGATAGTCATTGTATGTCTTGGTGTGGGGTTGGACATTTATTTTAAAATTTGTGATTATACTGATATTTTTGCATTTTTCAGTGGGTTTCAAACACGTTGATATTGTTTTATAAAAATATAAAAAAAAGACAGTGNTGATATTTTTGCATTTTTCAGTGGGTTTCAAACACGTTGATATTGTTTTATAAAAATATAAAAAAAAGACAGTGGACCTTAATGAAAACCATTAACTCTTTGAGATCAATCTCAATCTGTTTTATTTCGGGATTTATTTCTATTAGGCGAAATCCTTACTAATACGAGTATTATAATTGCGAATGTGAACTTGGTTGTTTGTTTGTTTATTACCATTTCACGCCTTAATAACTCAAGCGATCATCATGAAATTTTGTACACATATTGTCAGGGGTACAGAAAAGGATATAGGGTACCTGTTATCCATAAACAATTCCGTTTCCGAGGGATACAAAAATTAGTTTTATGTGGTCCTTGACACGTATTTAAGACACCAACGCGAGAAAAGCCGCGGGTAAAAGCTAAGTAGATCTTTATAATTTAATGAGGATTCGTATCTTATTGCACACAGTAGACCCAAAGTACGATCTTACTACTTAATTAGGAGTAATATTAATTTAACGGCTAATTTTCCAAATATAAACTAAAATGTATATTCTTGCATTGCTTGATACCTTTGCCTGGTAACTTACACCGGCATTTTTGAAAAAAATAAAAAGGAAGAATTGTGCTAGTGATATGCTTCCCAAATTCGTTATCAAAAAAAAAATACGCACACAGAAATAAGTTATGATACCGCTATTATTGAAATCAGTTCATATGAAATACCTTTTTATAACCTAACCTACCACAACCTAATTAATTGTAAAATTAACAGTTTTGTCAGCTCATTCCAAGAAAACATTCGAATGACTCGTTCTTTTTCGATTTGGTTTAGAAAAGAGGTATTTTCTGATGGGACTTTATTTTTTAAAACCTCTAGCCTATACATGTTTATTTACCTGTAATATCGTAGTGTAATTGGAAAATTTTTAGAGTCGGTGAAGTAGTTAGTTAAACAAACAAGAAAAATCGCATTTACCCCTTACTGTTCAACAGACTTTTCGCTGTAAACAACTTTTCGTATCAACAACTTTCATTATAAATGAAAAAAATCTGGTAGGGAACATATAAATACATCGTAAACCCTGTCGCAGCTAATAAAATTAATAAATCATTCAGCCGTCGAGTCGTCAGGTCTGTCGGTCCCATGATGTGTTCCACCACTGCGTTTACAATAATTGGAGGATCTACAGCGCTCGTTCATCATTCGCATTTCCCAAGTTTTCTAATTGAAATTTCGAATATTTATGTGAACGTTGATTATTGATTCGTAAATTACAAGTGTACAACTTTTGTATTGAGTCTTTTCAATGTGAACTGTGTACTGAAAATATTCATTTTATTGACTTTTTACTTCGGATGTGTACTGATCCATTAGTAAGATTTAAATGAAATTTGAATCTGTCATAATTCATGTACTTATATGCTTGGTATAAATTATAAATTATTAAAAAGTGAAACATTATGTTTGAGCTTTGAGTGTCACCGTTATTATTTTTTGGAGGAAGGTATGTTTCTTCGTTACCTCGATAAAAATGTTCAAAAAAATCCGAATCCCACCTAAAGTTACTTGCCGATCACTGTTCTATACTAATGGTCGGAAACTGGCGGATCGCGGTACATGTCCCGACCGCGGAAGGTCTTAATATAAATTAGAAAGACGGAAAACCCATAGT